GGAAGGAAGCTGCTTTACTGAAAATTTATGATGAAAAATCTAAAAATAGGGGCAAGCTTTATATGGTGGAAAACCTGCAACATTCTGATGATAGAAGAAGCAAGCTATATTGAAAATGTCTGGTGGAAAATGGAAAAAGGAAATCTGCACCAATCAGAAGATTGGAGAAGCAAAATTTGGAAAATTTGCATCGTTCTGATCAATTTATATTTTCTGGTGTAAAATTGTATGGGGGCAAGTTTGTATTAAAAATTGCACTGATGTAAAAAATGCACAGTTCTGGTGAATGGAGGGGCAAGCTTTATTGAACATTTCTGGTAGAAAAACTACAACGTTTTGGTGATTGGGCGGGCAACTTAAACTTGACTTCCGAGAAGAACCTCAAGGGTATTGAATTCTGAGGACAGTTCTAAAAGAAAAGATTTCTGGGGATGATTCCATGAAAATTCAGTAAATAATTTCTGGTGAATGCTGCAGATAGTTCCAAGATAATTTCGAAAAGAATACCTAGAGAATCAAATTTTGAATGAAATTCCAAAGGGATGTCGAGAAAAATTTCAAGGGAATTCCGAGGATAATTTCAAGCTCATTCTGGGAAGAATTTCTGGAGAATGCAGACGAAATTCTTCTGAAACTTTATGGGGAATTTCAGTTCCAAGGTGTTGTGATAAAAAAAAATTTATGACAGTTTGTTGGGAGAATTCTAATAAAATTCTACGGATAATTTCTAGTGCATCTTGCAGATAGTTCCAAGATAATTTCAAAAAGAATACCGAGAAAATCAAATTTTGAGAGAAATTCCAAACGGATTTTTAGCAAAATTTCAAGCGAATTCCGCGGATAATTTCCATTTCATACAGTTCCAAGGTGTTCTGAGAAAAAATCATAAAGAGTTCTAAATATAATTCCAGTGGACTTCTGAGAAGATTTTCAAAAGAGCTCTTAGGAGAGTTTTAAAAAAATCCGAGAAGAACCTCAAGGATATTGAATTCTGAGGACAGTTCCAAAGGATTTCTGGGGAGTATTCCAAGAAAATTCTGCGTATAATTTCTAGTGAATCCTGCAAATAGTCCAATGATAATTCCTAAAAAAATACAGAGAAAATTGAATTTTGAGTGAAATTCCCAAGGGATTTTGAGGAAAATTTCAAGGGAATACCGATAATTCCTTGCTCATTCCGGGAATAATTTTTTTGAGGAAATTCTTCTGAAACTCTAAGGGAATTTCAGTTCCAAGGTGTTTTGAGTAAAAGTCAAGAAGAGTTCTAAAAATAACGACAGAGGACTTCTGAGAAGAATTTCCAAAAAGCTCATAGAGTTCTAAAAATTTCGAAAAGAACCTCAAGGAATTCTGAGGATGGAATTTTTCGCAACTGTACAAAGTTTGAAGACAGTTTTTGGATTCCCTAATCCAAAAGTGGGTATTAGTTGAACCTATTGTTGTCTTACTAAAAAATCGTCTAAGAATCTTCTCTGAAAATTTCAAGTCATTTGTTACCGTGGTTAAAAAGATATAGCTATTTATGTGCGTTGCAATAAATTCGGGTTTGCCCTTTATATCATCTTTAAAACATGTTGAATATTCGGCATCATTTTCTGTCCGACTGGCGGTACTTTGGGACGGTTCATCATCGACATCGCCGATGGGATTAAATTGCCAATTTCCATTGAAAGCAGTTTGCATTGAAGAAGACGATTCACAAAAATAATTAAAATTAGTTAAATTAAACCGTAGAGAAACAGAAAAAAAATGCCCCTCCTTAACAAGATTCCTGAGCACGTTAGTGATTGAACTTATCCGAAGTTCCCTGACCCTCTATGACGTATCCTGAATTTGCGAGAAGTTCTGCAAAATCTTAGAAGGTTTTGTCCATTTCTACGAAGTAACCTGAACTTCTACGATTTGTCCATAGCTTATACGAACTACAATTTAATTTCTACCAAGAATCCTGAACATGTACATATCAGGGCTCTATATTTTCGAAACACTAAAATGAGCTCGGGTTTTGTTTCTTTCATACATCGTGTTCATCCCATCATTTCTATAACGCCTAGCTAGACGATCAGCACGAAACGAAAATGAAAAAGAAGCACGCTTAGAACGAAATGTAATGCCGATTATCGAGTTAAATGTAATGCCGATTATCGAGTTGAAACTAAACGTCATTATGGCTTTCAATCCCTTTCACCGATACTCAATCACCGCTCTTTCAAATTGTTTAATATGCGTTATGTTCCATTTTCGCTACTTTTTTGGTAAATATGTGGATGGAAGATAAATTAAATATATAACGTGTAATCTTCAAGTGTTTTCACGTGAGAAATGATTTAAATATATATATTTTCATTCTCCGTCATTTCTTAGCTTTCTTAATTCGACCAAGATCTCAGGACATCCATAACCTTTTAACAAATTTTTCTGATTGTTGGGGCAGGTTCGTGATTTCCGTTAAAAATTTAACCAGCGGGAAAATCAAATGTGCACTGTAACTATGCTGAGTGGGGGTGTGAGCATCGGCTAACACTCCAGTTGATTCTTTAGGTTTGCGACTAACCGCCACTAGGAGTCACTTCTTCTTTTGAAAGGAAACACTTTGCAACTTGGATTTGAATTTATTAAGTTTTAACTTGGGATACACTTTAGATCTGGTTTTTTGGATAGCTCAATTTGGAATAATTTATTACTAATAATTCAATTAACTCTTAACCTAATTTGCTACTACTACTAACGTAATTAATTTTTATTCTACTTATTTCCAGTACTACTACATTTGTATAGCACTCATTTGTAGTACCAGAATGGTGCGTTCGGCGCGAATCTATAAAATAGATTTGGAAACTGGTTGAGAACAAACACTGATCATATGGGCGAATCAAAGTTCCCAAAACTTCAAGGGAGTAAAAAAAAACTCTAACGATCTTAGAAGTTTGCTGAATTTCAACAATATTCTTTGAGCATCTACGAAACTTTCTGTACTCCTACAAAGTTTGCAGAGGTTAACCGAGTTTCTGCAAAGTTGTCCTGAACTTTTGAAAAAATCCTACCTCTTCTATGAAATTTTGCGATGTTCTTCAAATTTCTACTAAATTTGCTTAACTTCTACCTAGATCGCTGAGCTTTTTAAAATAAGTCTACGGAATTCCTTAACACTCCGAACACGATGCCTCCGGTAAAATGTGTAACGGCAAACTTTCAATGTTTGAAAAATCATAGCTCAGCCATAGCTCAGTATATTAGCTAATTTCAAATATATTGGTGTCATTTGAATTTACAAACATTGCCAATTCGGCGTGTTAAACTATTTCAATGCCAATCATTAAAGAAGTGACCTAAAATTAAAAGAAGGTCCCGGAATTTCAATAATGTTTCCTGCAATAAAACAAAGTTTCATTAACTTTATCAAAGTTCCCAAAGTTGTACAAGTTTCCCACTTCTACGAAGTTTTCCAGAATTTTTTCGAAGCGCTCCTAATTTATCTCCTGTTGGACTGGACTGGGTTTTCAAACAAACACCAAAGTATGACAGGACTGCGCTATTCGCTAGTTTTGACTCCAAGGTAATTGTGGAAACCATTTAAAGATTATAGTGAGAAGAGCTCCTAGTTAAATTTAAGGAGTGTTCCGAGTAAACATTTTCGGTGGTTCTGAGGAGAATTCCAAGTTTGAGGAAGATTTTGGGTTCAATTCTAATGAATCCACCAAATAAGTATTGTGAGGAATTTCAAACGAGTTCTGATTAGGGATTCAAGGAAATTAAATTTAGGATAGTTCCCTAATAATTCTTGGGTAAATTTCAAGGAACTGTTATGGTTAATTTCAAGTGGATTCTAAAGAAGATTCTGAGAATAATACCAAGGGAATCGAATTTCGAGGATTCAATTGCCAACGGAATTCTGAGAAGAATTTTTTTACGGAATTTCGATGATAATACCAGGGGTGTTCGCTGAAGCATTTGTAGAAAATTCTTAGGAGAATTGCTTTAAGAATTTTAAGGAGAATTCAGTAGAGCACTCCTTGATAATTCTAAGCACAATTTTAATACTTTCCAGAGGTGAATAATTCTATATAAACCCATACATTTACATAGAATTATGGATGGAAGCTTCAATGAATTCTTCGCGGAATCATTAAAAATACGAAGATAGAGTGTTCTTCAGGGAATTTTGGGACGCAGGGTGGTCAGCTGACCAGACAAACCTGGAAATAACTGGAAATCTGCAAAAGTACCCGGGAAAACCGGCACTCACCAGAATTATCGTGGGGTTCTACTCAGAATTATAATGGCATTCTTGAAAACTACCAGAAAACTCTTCTCGTAATACCTATTTGGAATTTCCTTGAAACGCTTCTAAGAATTTCCACGGAATCCTAAGGGATCGAATTTTCAGGATAGTCTTAAGGGAATTTTAAGAAACTGCCTTGAAACTATCCGGAAAATTCGATCCCTTAGAAATTATTCTCAAAGTTTTCTTTGATTTTTATTCAAACCTCTCATCAAAATTCCTTTTTAGAAATCCTTCGGAAGTTTCTTCAGAAATCCATTTGAATTTTTCTAAAAATTTCCTACGAATTTCTATTTAATTTTCCTTCATCTGGATGTCTTTTGATGTTTCCCGAAATCCACTTGATCTTTTTTTTTTTGTAGGACTAGAATAAATTTAGAAATTTATTTAAGTTACATGTAAATTATTAGAAGGGCACGAGACCGAATTATTAGATTGAGCCTAGAAATTATTTTAGAAAGATGCTATGTCATTAGGCATGATGACCATTCGACCTAATGACCTAGTGACTTAGCGTAAATTAAAAAAAATCGTAACTCTTGGATTTGAACAAAATTATAGAATTCTCAGACTTCGAAGCTAGAAGCTAAAGAATTACGATGAGAATAACAAATGAGTTTTGAGTCGAATTGTAGAGTTGACGCAACCCTTCTTGCGGTTCTTGTAGGTTAGACTGGTGGAGCGGGGCTTGCGGCGCATAAAGTGCCGCTCGACCCACTTGAGCACCGTCAGCACCGAATCCGTGAACGGTAGATGCCCCTCGGTCGAGGTCTATCTGGGCGTTCGTAACGCGGAACGCAGCTGCCATACCTTTGAGGGTCATCATAGCGTCCTCATTGGTAACGTCGTCACCGGCGTAGATGATCTTGATTCGTTCGCTCCAATCTACGCCGAAGGCAGCACGCATGATGGAAGCACTGAACCGGCGGTTCCGCCTCCACTACGCAGTGTGCCTCCGTAACACTGAAGCCGTTATCGGTGATTAGTTGGCGTGCCTTGGAGACCATCTTATGTCGCAATTCGCTCGGTGTTTACCAGTAGTGGAACGTCAGGATGGCACCCTTGTTCTCAACCCAGGCAAGCCCTGCAATTGAATTGTTCGTTAGAGTAAGTCTGCTGATAAACTCCAATTTGCATCCTCGACTGGTTTTTCGTTCTGGTTGGTGAAGCTGTTAGTCCTCCAGGTTAGTTGTACGTTATATGTCCTACCGAAGCTAGCCACACACACGTTCTGGAGTTCACATTGTCCGCGATCAAGGCAACATTTATACCAATTTGGTGTAGAAATTTGACAACTTTGGATTGGTACTGCTGTCGGTACAGTATATGCCAAGCCGAGGCTTAGGTTTCTCTGGATATTACACCCCAACCTAAAATTGAGTGATCCCTACCGAGGCAAGATTGATGTGACGTCATCGGACCTTTTGCTACTTAGGTTCGAATTTGGATTCAGAGCAGTTACCTGTTCTGCCAGGTCACCTCGCTCATCCACTGGAGGACTGACTTACCAGAAGTGGAGAAATTTCATTATTTGAAAGGGTGTCTTCAAGGTGGACCTAAAAGCCTAATCGATCCACTGAAAATTACCAAGGCTTGGGATACTCTGGTAAAGAGGTACAACAACAACAAGCTGTTGAAGAAGAAGCAGGTCCAATCTTTCTTCAAACTTCCGACCCTCTCCAAGGAATCTGTTGTTGAGTTACGAAATCTGGTGGAAGATTTTGACCGACTCGTCCAAACACTTGATCAAATCGTGGAACCTGCTGAGTACAAGGATCTCCTATTGGTGAATCTGCTCACGATGCGACTGGATCCATCAACTCGTCAAGCATGGGAAGAATATTCGGCCAACAAGGAGATGGATTTACTGACAGACCTCACCGAATTTCTGCGTCAGCGAATGCAAGTACTGGAATCCCTTCAGACGGACAACAAGATCGTCCATCAGCGACAACCACCACCGAAACCGAAAGCTTCAGCAATCAAGGCAAGCTACAATTCGATTCAATCGTCAGGAGGCAGATGTGCGGCTTGTAAGGACAACCACCTTCTATACCAATGTTCCGCATTCCAAAGACTTTCTGTGACGGATCGGGATTCTGAAGAACTGAAGCCGTTATCGGTGATTAGTTGGCGTGCCTTGGAGACCATCTCATGTCGCAATTCAATCCAGGCTCCATGATGACAAACCTTTTCCTGCAAAGTCTTATCGGGTGGATGAACTTGCTTCCAGACCGTGGTTACCGGCGTAAATGATGCATTCGATGCCAACCATTGCCTTGACGTTATCCACATTACGACCCAAGAGAACGGCAATGTGGACGTTGGAGTGGCCAGACGTTGCCAGATCTGGATGTGGTTCAATCGGTGCCAGTGTGCCGTCGTAATCCAGCAGCAGGGCCAGCTTGTGGTTGTTGCCGATATAGTTCAAAAGATAATCATCGGCAACAATAACAAGCTGCTGGATTACGATGGTTTGAGAATCCGAAACCCATCGAAATAGGAGACGCTGTTTTTCTGGTAGATGAAGGAGTGAAGAACCGTTGGATACGTGAGATACTGGAAGCGGGGTTTCCCAGAAAGGACAGACGAATCAGACAAGCAAACATCAGGACGGCGTCTCCTTTTGAGCGGAATCGAGAGAAGCAAACTCTCCAGTTCAATCAAAATTCGTGGAGTAGCTTTTTCGTAGCTCTGCACTGATAGACCATCCAGATAGGGATACATTTTCGCTAGATCCCGGTACCGAAGAGCTTACACCGGTAAATTCACAGTACGCCCGTTTTCCAGAGTAAATCTGGTACTCCCAGAAATTTGCAAATTTACGCTACGAGATATTGCCTCCCGCCGCGTGACGTTCGCTGTCCAAGTCAAGGGCTGAACCTCTCCGTCGATGTTCAACTGGTCGGCGATGTCTGCATTCATCAGCGTCAAGGATGAACCCTCATCAAGGAAAGCAAAGGTTTCGATCCGTTTTCCCTTCCCATACAATGTAACAGGGATAATACGAAAAAGTGTGGAGCATTTCACTTGACAATCCACAGAGACTGGTGCTTTGGATCCCAAATGTGAAGACTGATTGGATTTGGGCTGACCCGGATGTAACATCGTATTATAGCCCTTAGAACAACCCCCTACGTATGCTACCAAGCATCGAACGCAGAATTGGTGCGCTTGGACTGCTTTCCAACGATCCCCTGATTCTATGCTTGTCACTTTGACAAACGTAGCATGGTCTAGCCTGACTATCTACCCTCTTACCTGCAGGATTCTCTTGGTTACGGAAGTCTTACGAATAATGCGCATTCACGTACGCCCTTTCCTTTGATTTTTGTTTCTCGGGTCGACTCAATCGCTGAACATCGTGGTCGCTGAAGTGAGCAACGTCGCTGAAGGTTCCCAAATCGTCGAATCCGACGCGCTTCTTGAAAAGTGCCCATCCAAACGAATATTGGTTGGTAATTTCGCGACTAGCTCATTCAATAACGAGGGGTTCATCAAATGCGCCTGCTGTTTCACTGCTTCCAGGTGTCCAACGAGATTCTGTACGGTGATGCCGAAGGTGACCAAATTTTCCAAACGTTCTGCTTTAGGTGTAGGTACGGAGCGTACCTTGATCAGCATCGACTGGTCAGGACTACCAAATAATGTTAAGATGGAGAAGATTACTTCTGACTGTTTCCAGTGCGCATCCCTTCAGGCATCTTTGTAACCTCATCAGGTTGTCAGCATCCGATGTGTGATTATCGCCGTTGAGTACCGGTAGCTACTTACAAATAGCGGTCACTCCTCTGGGTTTCCAGCTGAAATCGAAAAATGTCCCCAAACTGCTTGATACTGGAAGGCTGCGTCTCTGGCATCAGTGTCGGATAGATGAATGGTGGTATTGGATTCGGCTGCGAGTTTGGGGGTACTGGCATTGGTTCTGGATTCGATGACCACGGCATCGGTTGTGGAAATGGTTGTGGGACTGGCTGTGGAATCGGATGAGAACGTGGTTGTGGCATCGATTGTGGGTTTGGTTTTGACATCGGTCTTGCGGAATCGGCTATGGAATCGGCTGCGGAATCGGCTGCGGAATCGGCTGCGGAATCGGCTGTGGGCCCGGTTGCGGAACCGGCTGCGGTATTGGTTGCGGAACCTGCTGAGGAATCGGTTGCGGGATTGGATTTGGCTTCGGTTGTGGTCCCGGTTGCGGAATCGGTTGCGGAACCGGCTGAGGAAACGTTTGAGGAAACGTTTGAGGATACAGTGGTACAGGTAAAGGATTTGGTATTGGCTGCAATGGTTGCTGAATCGGTGTTGGTGTGTACGCACTTTCTTTGTTTGGCTCCGTCCACTTTGGTACCACACCCTTATGTTTTACCTGCATTACATTCCAAAGCTGTAAGAGGAGTCACTTCTTCCGCGATCACTTCGGTCAGAACCTCTGGTTGCCATGCTTGACTTGATCCATTACCGCCATCTGACAACTGGTTGGCATGCTCCAACAACTACTGGCTGACTCTATTCTTGCTACTTACTCGACTACAATGGCTGCCGATACTATTTTCATAATCATCAGCTTCCGCCATCAGTATCGCGTACTTTTGTTCCCGGAACCTTTTCTCTAATTCAGCTCTTTCCATCAAAGTTCTCTCCTCAGCTTCATTAGCTGGAGTTGGTTCCGCAATGATCTGCCAGACTTCAAGACATTGACTTCGTTTACGCCAGAGGCAAATTTGCTGCACGACCAACTATTTTCACGGATGCTGTCGTCCACCGTCGATCAAGAAAAATGGTACCGATCCTTACAGGAATCACAGGCCACCGTATTCTCCGATCTGTCCGGATCAGATCTCCGATCTGATCATCCTGACTATATGCCATCATCACACAGAACCTCTGGTAGCCCGATCCGACAGTCTGCACTACCTTCCAACAAATTAAATTCTTTGAAGATAGTTATCAAGAACGAAATAGAGCACTCAATGTTCTTTTTGCAATTCCAATTTAATCTTTAGGATAGTGCTTTAAAGCTAGAAATAAGTGTAAACATTAGTCTAAAGCGTATTTTTGTTAAATTTAAGTCGATCTTATAGTTCCAGTGACATCAGTACATTTCTCTACTTCTGGACAACTTCTTCTACAGTATTTCCTTGTATTCATATTGGTAAGTTTACTTTTAGTTAGCTATAGTGATAATTAAACAACTACCCAGTTTAGAAATTTTAGGTTATAAATTTTGCCAATAATTTAGTATTAAGTAATTAATTAGTTATCTACTAAATACTTTTAAGGAATGTAATACAATTAAATCACTGTAAATTTTAAACAATCAATTTATAAGTATCAGCATTCAAACTACAAAATGTATTCTAACATCAATTAGTAAATTATATTGAACTGTTTGCACTGATGAATCGCACATTGGATTTTCTCCTACATTCAATCGATCAATTTTGCTCTTCATCCTCGTTGGCATTCCTCTTGTCAGCACAAAACTTAAACCTTCCTGTCAACCAATCCACCTAACCTGTCCATGAAAAATAATTACCCAAAGTTCCATGCAAATCGGAAAAGGTCAAGGAGATGAACATTTGCATAATATTGCTTCATATGCAACTTGGAAACGATGATTCCACTCACGGGTTACATTTCCAGCGTACTTAAGTAGTACTTAGGTTTAGTCGCTCAAAAGTAAATTGTTTTTGTTTTCATCAGTTGACATGAATACTAACCCCCCATTTCGTTCTTCCATGTTACAGGTAAGCATTCAACTGGATTTTATTTACGAAGGGTGCGCGTCATAATCGCGATGCAACAAAAAAACCGGTAAGGACCTTTGACTGAGTTGCAGCAGGAATTCCACCAGAAGCTGAAACAAATGAACACAAATGCGGTGCGTAAAAGAGTAAATATTAGCAAAACAACCACCGCATAAAGCACAGGGAATCTCGACTCCATCATCGTCCTCGTCATCACCAGAACCACCGCCAGCACCAAGTCATCAAGAGTTCAGAATGTGAGACACACACACACGCACACATGTGGGTATGGGGGCAGAAGAAGTGGAAAAAGTAGTAGCATTTTTTACTTCAATTGCCAAGCGCTTGAATGGGAATCGAGAGAAAGCGAGAAAGCTGCGATAGGAAAACCGAGAGATGAGCTGGCCTTGATGTGGAAAATTTTTCCACACTTGAAGAAGAATAACGGAAAACGTAAAAGCTCACATTCGCATAGCCAAGAGGGCAAACAGTTTTCTTTTTTCGAACAGGGGGGTTTGAACGGAAATGAGAATGAACACTGCTTACCAAGGGTGGCGGCGAATGGAAGGAAATTTCGTATTTAAATGCTGCTATATTCAGCTGTTGGTTTTGTTTAAGTGGGTACTACGGACGGTGAATGGAAAATTATGACACCAAGTAGCGCCGGAAAAGATTTTGTTTGTGTTCGGAGTAATTCAAGCTGGTGGGAAATTTTATGACTGCTTTTATGAGGTTTAATATGGCGTTTTTATTTGGAACTCGTTTCGGGAATTAAAATGTGCTGGGAGAGTTGGGAAAATTTAGTGAAATTGGTGAAACATTGATGGAATATTTCACTGAATGTCACCGATTCTCTTCCAGCCGAAATGGTAAACCACGTGTGTGTCATACGTAGACAGCAGAGCAAACAACAGCTTCTAATGTGCTCACCAACGGGAAATTTGCATACATACAGGAGAAGTGCCACCTTTTCCAAAATTATCAACCGTGGCGTGGCGGTTGAAGGCTGGAGGCTGGAGGCAGCGTCGACAAACCGAACCGGAAGAGCTTCGCTCCTTTGTTTTTCGCCGAGGGTGGACTGAATATTTCAACAAACTACTCGGAACAATTGTGGAGCTTAGCACACATGCAACTACTGGGATGTCGTGTTGTTTTGGTCGACAGGCTGTACCTAGTGTTGTGGCAATGGTGCAACTAGGCTGATGCGCTGATGATGCAGCAAACGAGTTGTTTACAAAGCTCTTATCTTGGACCAGGTGTGATTCCCACATCGAAAGCGGATTGCAGAGGTGACAATAGGTACCGGTCGTTGTTGTACGAATTGCTCGCTGATGAAATTAGGCTGTTACGCGCCTGCATTAGAGCCGGGGAAAGGTTTGTGGAGTGTGTTTTTGTGTTTCTAGTCTTTAATGCTTGTTCTTGTTCTGTCTTTCGGAGTGTTACTTTTGCTATTTTGTTTTTTTTTCTTTTGTTACTAAGTGATTGACATCTTTTCTGTTTGGTGTTACCAATTGTCATCCTTTCGTTATGTGTTACTTGCTTTTTACTTTATGGTTTTCTTTTTTTTTTATTCCATGCACTTATTTCTGCTTTAGATTTTCCAATATGTGATTTACAGTTTTAATTTGTTTCGTTTTATTTATCCTTTATTTGCTTTGTTTTCCAGTTTCATTCCCATTTGATTTTAAATTTCACTGGAAAAAATGAAATCCTATGAACTTCAGACTCGATTTTCTCCGATTTACATGAACCTTTACATAATTGTTTGTTATGAACTATCATTCACATTTGTGCTTTAGGGGTAGTTTACCAGTTCAAACAAAATAATTACGTTTTAATTTTTCTAAAAATAATGAGAAAAAGAAATCAAAAATCCAATAAAATCAATTTTTTTTTGTCAGAAAATTCACGTGCAATTTTTATTGTGAGTCATCATGGCATAAAGTTGTACCCTAAAGACCACAAAGCATCGGCCTTTAG